TGAAAGGAGGGGGGGAGCGGGGGGAAGCCAACAATAAGCAAATAGCTACAGGATCTCTTGCCCTGCGTAGCATCTCAACAGCTGTCCATCCCTTTAAACAGACGGACCACAGAATAATGCTAGCCACAGGCGGGAAAGCAAAGAGTGAGAGGAAAGATATAGGAGGGAGAGAAAGGAGGAGGAATAGAGGATGAAAGAGTGCAAGAGCGAGATGGAGAAGGTGAGAGAGTGAGACTGAAAGAGAGCGAGAGGAATGGAGGAAGCAGATAAGAGACGCTGAGGGGACAGAAGGGAGGGTGGAACATGAGCGATAACCAGGGTATTGGGCAAACACTGCTCATACAGGCTCAATTAAGGTTCGATTACTTCTTATAGCCATACACTGTGAAATGCTAAAGATGGTTGGAAAAAAACTAGTGACAGCACTCGGAAAAGACCTTTGACATCCTTTAAAATTAGATTTTTTAAATGCGAACAGGTTGCTAAAAGCTTTTAATGCTATAGAGGGAAATGCAATGAGGTTCCACAACAAATCATTTATAAATCATTTAATTTATAAACCATTTAAATCTTACTGTCCAAGGCCATACTAACTCTTAAATTCACAAAATGTTCTTAATTTTGGAAAAAGGTTTATTTAGATTGTTAAAAAATTAGTAATGCTTTACAATGTGACATGTCAGTGCTTCCCACACATAGACTTTACTTGGGCAGGCCGCCCAGGTATATTAATGGCTGCCCAAGTATATTTAGAGGTGACACATGAATAACACCATTACTATCATCCATTTACACTTTTTTGTATCCGTCCAAGAAAGCTGTTATTTGCCATTATGTGTATGTGTTTTTGCATTACCTTTTAGCCATGAGAGAAACATTAAATGATTGATAATTTAATAAATGACTCTGATAAACTTTACTATATCTCAAAGAGAACTAAATATTTTGGTTGCAAAATATTTGTACACCATTTGAATCAGTTAATTGCCAACTGATTTGCCTTATTTAAATAATCTACACTTTTTACTCTTGTAATTATTATCATTTTTAGCAATAATGTATATTTTTATTTATTTATTCTGTTATTTATTTCCCATTTGCTGGATATTTTATTAATTTAATGATGTTAATACCCTAGTAGCAAAGAATTCTGGCCCAGATTTGGCATAAAGCTGGCACAGCAGGCATTCATCCGGCACTGGCATACAGCATGTGGGCCAAACATGGCCCGGGTTTGGCAGAGGTGGCACCGTCTTTAAAGCGGCACACAAGATTTGGGCCAGATGAAAAATGTAGTATTTGGCCCAGATTTAAAAATTTGATAAGTGGGCCATGTGAGTTTGGCCAGTCTTGACCCACATTTAAAATACACTAAAATCATTTTTGAGTAAAGAAAAAAAATTCTACCAATCAGGTCACTTTGAGAAAAAGCATGCCCGTAGTGTGCCTAAAGCACATCACTCCATGGGTTTATCAATTTCATTGCAACCGTGACACACCAACCTATCTGGCCCAGTTCAGGCCCAGTTATGAGTTATTAACTTGGCTGAGACTTGGCCCAGATATGGTCCGTGTTTGGCCCTTGTCTGGAAGCCAGATTTGGTCCAGTCATGTACCATAATTCACTGCAGTATGTGGGCCAAGCAAAACCTGATTGTGTGGGCCAGAGCTGGGCCAGAGAAATTTTGCTATGTGGGTATATAACATTTTATACATATCTAAAATGCTTTGGCAATACCGTTTTGGCAATAATATTGCCATGCCAATAAAGCAACTTTAGAGAGAAAGAGAGAGCGAGAGAGCACCCCTTTATCAGTAGCATAAAACTAAGCAAAATAGTGGATTTCTTTTGTTACAACAGCCTTTCTTAATAACTTTTACCCATTGAAAAGGTGTGTAACAGTGTCAAAATAAATAAAAATATAGTTAAAAAACCACATTATTTTTAGTTTGTTGCATGTAGTTGAACATTTATGTGCTGTGGATAAAAAGTGTTTCAATCAGGCTACCACCGCAAGTATATTTCAAACCTGTGGGAAGCACTGTGTGTAGTTAGGCCTGTCACAAGATCTAATTTTTGTTGTACGATATATTGCACCAAAATATACTGTGATAAACAATATTATTGTCATTTTAAGACAATTTTATGCCACCCATTATGTAATGCCAGAATGACAATATAATATCATCACAATGCAAGTACACTATTTCATTTATATTGTGAATATTTAATTTATAGTAATTTGAACAATTTAATAAGTATGCATTGGAGTCAGAATGTGCAAATGCGGATCCTAAATAAATGATAATAAATGTAAAAACACGGTAAAGCAAGGTAAAAAAAAGTAAAATAGGCTGCAATATCTGCTACCAGATCTATTTCCAGTCGTCAGACACTCACAGGAAAATATACTATAGTAATTTATAGTAGATACTATATTGTTTTTTTTAACCATACTGATATTGACACCTCCAATAAAGATAGAGATGTTGCACAATCAGCTAAAATGTGGTGATATTTATTGCACCACCAAAAATGATTGAGGTCATGTCCATGTGTTGTGCAATAAGTCGATATATTGATTTTTCTGACAGGCTTACATGTAGGAAATATGTTTACTAACATGAACACACAATAACCAAAGCTTGTGCAGAATTTATTAATTATAGTTTAACATTAATTAATGCATTGTTAACACGCAACGCTGTGCTTAGGTAATGCACATTAGGTAATGCACTGTGAGTTAACAAACTAAAAAGGAACACCTGTGTTTTCATTAACTAACATGAATAAATATGTATCGTTCATTGTTTGTTCATGTTGAAAATAAAATAACATTAATTATGTGTCCCGTATTCTAAGGTGATGGCTAATAATTATTTAAATTAAGAGGAAAAAAATAAGAAAAAAAGTTTATTTGAAAAGATGTCCACTTAAATGTTATCTGAGAACCAATGATGGATGCCATTCCTGGAAATAAAACCTTTTGTAATGCTTATTTTTAAAGGTGCAGAATGCAATTTTGACACCCAGTGGTTGAACTAGGTATTGCACCCCTGGTTCAAAACACATGCAAGAGCAGGTTGCCAGATTAATGACACCAACAAAGGCTGATTTAAATCATGTTCTAAATTAACGCAATGTCATGCGACAGAAGAAATTGGTTTGTCCTAACCAACAGCTGAAATTTCTATTATAGAAACAGCTATTTCTTGCAGCTGAACAGCAGAAAAATGAAAATGATCACCTCAGGTACACCTCATGTGCTTTATTCTGGGTTAAATGCTAATAATGTGAGATTGAATGCTATTTTACATGACATTTATTGCCATACTTCTGAAAGCAGCAGCAGATAGTTTATCTCAGATCTTAAAAAAATAAAATAAACCATTTGAAACTGAACTTCACATCTGTGACCAGAGCAAGCAAATATATGTAATACAGTGATTCAGCATGTACATTTAATATTGCCAAAAAGGATTAATATGCATTAATTAGATTCTAAACCATTTCCTTTGAGTGCAGCAAGTGCACTTTTCTGTGCTACTGATTGGCTGTATTTAAATTTCCATCGCATAAATTTCATCTGGTTTTCGTTGTTGGGACGCAGGGTTAAAATGTAACCTGCTCACCTAATGTTTACGTTTGTAATATTTATATAATTTGCTAATTAATAACCACCTCATGTGGAACTCTGAATCTGCCCCTCATTCCTGAGGCTGCAACTGTCCACCGGAGGTCACATTTCAGTCGGACACATGCTTTGAGAGGCTTCATGACTGAATGAATCACACCAAGGCAGCCCGGGATGCTAAAATATAATTGGCTTAAATTACAAATGACCAAAACAAACGCATTCCAGCATGAAATGCACATTTGCAAAGCAGAATATTTGACTTTAGCATTGTTTTTCAGAAAAACAAGAAAGTTTACTTAGCATTTTTCTTAAACATATAATGGTATTTTTATGCTTTTGAAGAGTCAAAAACAACACCTTCAAGACTTTTTCTACCATGAAACACAAAGCAAATACTTGAGCTGTTCTCAAGCAAACAGAAGTGAAAAAGACAGGTGCTTAAGCTACAAAAGAAACAAAAAGCACCACTAAATCGTACATTATTTGTTTGAAGATCAATGCAAAAATGTAGATTATTTGCTTAGAATTGACCGGTGTTGGTTTTAAATGTGCTATAGAAATAAAAAAGACTGATACAAGTGTTTCTCATTGTTCTCAAAACTGCATCACAATTTATCAACACCAGTCAAGAGAGTTAATACTGATGCACATCAATGATCATCCCTTTTAAACTGCATTCATGGCATGTTGTGCAATTTCTAGAGCTTTACAGCACAAGTTACTGTTATTATTCGGAAAAAGAGCGAGATGGAAGTCAGATAGACAAGTTTGGCACAACACGAAGGTGAAAAAAAGATCAATACAATTCCTTTAGTATACTGAAAAACCATCACCGCAGTTTGAACCCTTATAATAAAGCAGAGGTGCCGAACAACAAGGATCACAAAGGCAGGCTCACAACAGCAAGCTTGTTAAGTTATCATCCTCTGAGCGCTTCTCTCAAAATTCCTCTCATCTCTGTTCACTAAAAAAAACAGCATGGTTCCTTTTTAATGACAAGCTTATTTCTTCTGATACACACTGAAATATTAAACACCACACACACCTGAAACAATGAAGCTTTGCTCCACCAGAAACAACAACCTAGCAAGTAACTCAGATATATAGTAATGATAAGCTGATAAGCATGTAAAACTTGTCTATCAGTTGTTTTCAAGCGCATTTTGAAATAATAAAGTGTCAAAATAATGACAAATAGATGACATTCAGTACCATAGACAACAGTTTACTTACATAACCTAGGCTATATACAGTAATAGACTAAATTTGACTTCTCTAACATGGGATTTAGGACAAAACATGCAACTTTCACCTCACTGCAAACAAAATATGCATAAAGCATCCTAAAGTGCTGTGGCTTACCGAAAATAGTGCTGAATCTCACTCAGATGCTGCTGGGACAGGTGTAGTAGCCTATTCGAGGAGAGCTTGGCGTACCTTCGGGCTCTTCAGTGAAACAGTGGTGAAATAGCGAAATGGTTTGGTGAGTGGGAAAAAACTGAACGGCTGTCTACATTTTTGAGTGAACTGCAGGGCAAATAAGTCAATATTTGGAGCTCTGTCCTCTCAGACATGCCAGTGAGGAATGAGCGCGGCGCGTTTCCTCTTTCAAAGAAACAAGCGGAGGCTACAGTACAGTACGCCCGAGTCACGTGACTGCCGCTCCTCACTGCGCGCCGACACAGTACTGAACATATTTTCCAAAATGCTTATGATAATAGTGATTTGTGCATTTTAACCACTCATCGACACTACTATTTATAAACTGATTTAAATATGCTACACTGACTGAGATGATATGCAGAGAGAGAGAGAGAGAGAGAGAGAGAGACCCAAGTAATTGCTGGTCACCCACAAGAAAAATAAGCTAACGTTACGTTTTAGAGTCATTTACTGTTCTAGAGTATTTTATTACATATGAAGATCCTTTTTTTTTTTTTTTTGAAAAAGAAAATAAATTTGCAAAGAGAGATTGAGATTCACAAATACTTAAGCAATTATTGAACAATTGATTTACAAATCAAATCAATTCATTGTAAAATACAACTCTTCGTTAATAACAAAACTCAACCCAACATCAAAACAACATTCAATTTCAGAAGCATTATTTGCATTCATCATTTTATAATAATTAAAATCAACAATGATTCTTGATTTCACTAGATTTTTAAAAACGAATGCAATATTCTTACAATTCCTCTTTTCCATTTCATTTCTGTCTTGTAACAGGCTTAATAACAACAATAGCCAGTTTTGCTTGACCAATGATAAAATTTATTAAATGACAATTGTTTTTCTGTTGTCCTTTGTATTTAAAACCCAATATAAACTTGCTTTGTAAATAAAAGAGAAAGAGATTAATTTCCATCATGAAAAAAATAATGTAGTAATTTTTACTATACTATAAGTATAGTATAGTATTTTACTATATATAAATATACTATAGTGTCTTTAAATTACTCTTTTAGTTTGTTGTAATTATATTTTCTATGCTAATGAAAAAAATCTGTATTTTACGGTTTATTTCCGGCAGCAAAGTAAAATAACAGACATTAAATTACAGAAATGTTCTAAAATTAAAATTTCTGGTAAATTTCTGTGATTCAACCTCTGTTATTCTACAGTAAAATTCTGTAATTTAACAGCCGGTATTTTACATTTTTGTAACATAAAAAAATCGTAAAACTAGATTTTTTACAGTGTTAAACATTTTGCTCAGTATATCTGCAGCTACTGAATTTAGTTGGTAGGTGTGTAAACAGTGTATTAATATTTGGTTTATTCTCTAAAAAGTCTAATAGAAATTCTTCCAAATTTAGCTAACACTTTATTTTGAGGCATTACACGTTCCATTTACTTACTTCAAAAATTACAATTAATAATGCATAATTACAGTACATGCAACTATACCTAACATTAACCCTAAACCCTAAATAATTAAATTATTTAAAATGTGATTTCTGAATGCCAAATTAACACAAACCCTATACGATATAAATGTATAATTGTAGTTCACGGTTCATCCATTATAATGGGAATGTTTTCAAACACAATAACCATTTACAGTTCCCTCTCATAGTCACTAACCCATTTTTTAACCCATGCAGGAGGAAACGACTCACTCTGCTGTATAATTATGTTCTCACCGACTACTCGTGGTCCATCGAGCAACAGCTAAGAGGCTGTTAACTACCGCACACAGAAACCCATTATTAATGACATTGCCATTGTCATCTCTTCCACTACTGCCAGTCGCTGCACGTACACTCATTTTTCCATACAAACCGGAGACCCCGAGTGAAACCATTTTCTTGCCGACTGTCTCTTTGACTGTTAAATACATGCAAAAGAGCCTCCGGCAATGAAATCTCTGCTCATGTTGCTGCTGTGGCACCAATTATTGAGCTTTACTGCCAGCCTAACTGAAGCATAATTACTAGGGTTGTTCTGGGTAAATTTAAAGCAAAAAAAAAAAAAAAAAAGACACAAGAAGAAAAAGAAGAAAGGTAAAGCATGGCATCTGAAAAGTCTGCATGCAGCATTGTCCAGCTGTGGCTTTTTTTTTTGTTTGTTTTCTGAAAGAACGAATGCAAGATTTTATCTTCTACAAGCTCCCACAGAGATATCTGCCCCGCAGCATCCTCCACATCCACATTTGTTAGGTTTCAATTCAAGCATGTGTATTTTTAGCGTTTGCTCTGTGAGTGTGTATTATGCCAATATAGGTGTGCAATAGAGAGCTGAAAGCATCCCCAAAAATGAATAAACCTTCCACCCGACCGGCACAGAACAAATGGCAATAACAAAAACACGGGTCCTTTCACTGCTTTTGTGTATCTCTCTGGCAGTCTGCCACCTCCTCTATGCTCCCACACACACAGGTAATTTTGGAGCTGTGTGTAGGCAGTTCGGTCCAGATTTCTTATCATAGTAAGATCCAGATCAATAGGTGCCTGGAAGATGGAGCTTCAGGAAAACAAAGCAATGAACACATGCTGTGGAATGGAGACTATTGAGATAAACAGAGGCACAGCTGGAGAAATGTAGTTGTCCAAGACCTCGATATTAAAAGATTTCTTTTGGAAGCTGAAGATGAAGGATCACTTCAGATCTGTCGACATTCAATCAGAACTTTATAATGTATATCACTATATAAAGTGTGCTGTCTTTCCTCGAAATTTAATATTTGGCTGAATATTTTATTTGCTTTTCCGTTGTGATTATTTGTGAATTTTGTGAAAATAATTCAAGGCTCTAATGAGTGGAGTGGTGACAAAAAGAGTCAGAGCCAAATGTAGGGATGGCTGACGTGAAACTGACGTTTTGACACTTCACTGAAGTACAGTATGATCTGAAAAAACCCAGGCACGTGAATAGACAAGTGACCAATACTGTTTTCAAGGTATACCGAGGTTTGGGAAAGTCAAGGTTTTAAAATGGCCAAATTTTCTGCTATACCGTTCCTAGGGTGTATGTACGAGTTTTTTTTTTTACATAAATTTTTTTTGTTGTTGTTTTGACTTCTTTGTGACTTCTGGCTACTTTGAGACTCTCGCCGCTTTCGGTTTGTGATTGCTCCTCAGTTTGTGAAGGCTTCCCCACGTTGTCGCTCCACCCTGCCTCCCTTTCCAGCTTCTCAATTTGTGATCGCTTCCCCGTGTTGTCTCTCGCCCACCCTTCATCAGGGGGCCCCGTCAGTGATTCCTGCAGGGGGGCCTCCGCATTTTGCGCTACGCCACGAGTTACGTCGTGGTTTGTGAAACGCACCCCTGGGCGACCCTTTCAAGTAAAGTCTATCTGTGGAAAGCACTACTGGTTTCTATAACAGTATCTCGAGCAGAAAAGATATTCAAAGACGCGGTTCTAAATTGTAAAGAAATCTGTGTTGAAACAAGTGAATACAACAGAATGACTGATTTAATGATTTATTATTAAGCCTGACATTCCAGCAGGCACACAACATCATAAGACATTCATATTAGGTTAGATTTAGGTTGTAATGTCTGGTGACCAAAATAATGTCTAGCCAGCGTCTAAGAACAGCATTATTTTGATGTCCAATAACGACATCAAATAATGTTTATACTCTCCTTGTTTTTATGTTGTGTTGGAATGTGACTAAAAACCAACGTCAAGCCAACATCTTAAATCAACAACATACTAACGTCAAATACAAACATTTATTCGTCAAGTATTGCAACCAAAATCCAACATCATAGTGGTAATGTCCACAGAACGTCAACCTGTAACATCATTAGACGTTGATATTTGGTTGGTTTTAGGTAGGAAATTGACGTTGGCCTGACGTTGAGTTCTGACGTCAACCTGATTTTCATTTTCAAACAAAATGCAACGTCCCCATGATGTTAGGGTATAACGTCTATCTGACGTCATGTTGACGTCTTGTGTCTGCTGGGTGTTGAAGACCATTTCGGTCATCATACAGTAAACATCTGTCACCTCCTCATCAGTGACATGCATCTAAACAGTCTCGGGGGTAATGTGTGTAAAGATTTTGGACATCTTCTTGGACACTTTTAATGCTTCCAAACAGTTTGCTGCAATTATAAATAGTCCATGTCTTGAGGTAGTTTATTATGTTGCGATTCACCTTCTTTGTGCGATTTGATTGGACAGGAATCAAAGGACTGATTTTTCTAATCTCCATAGACAAGAAAAAATAAAGTAGTGACTGCAGGTTGAAGGAAAGTAGTGGAGTAAAAGTACAGATACAGCACTAAAAATGTACTCAAGGAAAAAAAAAACTGAACTACTCAATCACAGTAATTTGAGTATTTGTAATTAGTTTACACCACTGACTGTATGTGACATAGGCCTGTTGGTTGGAAAATTTCAGTGGTGCAGTGGTTTGCATGTGTCAAATTGTAAAAGTAGACTTTTCAAAAAATAAACAATAACCTAATTAACAATAATAATAATCATCATCATCACCATCATCGTGAAGAATGCATGTTAGCTTTTGTAAATGATTTGATGTTTAAGAATGGAATATGTAATGTTCTCAATAATATTTGTAAATCATAGGCCCTATATGTGCCATTTACATATATTTCAATTAATATGTAAAATGAGTGTATGTTTTTACCTAAACTAATATTGCCAACTAGTATTACCATAACTATTTTTTAAATGCATGTACAGCAATATAATTTGCACAAACAAATTATGGGGTTCTTCTCTAAAGAAGTAGTTACTCCACCCCGTTTAGAGCATCATTATGGGCTTTCACAATATAACTAATGTGGTTCAAACGATGAATCTGCGACAGAGAAACTACGGGTTTTGGGAAACACTCATCACTGCATTGTTCTTTTCCCAAACGATGCATCCTACTATGATAGTTCAGCCACGAGTTACGTCGTGGTTTGGAAAACACACCCCTGGCCGACCCTTCCAAGTAAAGTCTATCTGTGGGAAGCACTACTGGTTTCTATAAATATGGCTTCTCTTGACAAACTTAGCTCATTTTTTTTTTTTTGATCAAATCTATTCGGATTGCTTTCAAATGAAATTATACATTTCTCGTCCTAACAAAAATCTTTGATTAAATCAATACATGGGCACTATAAATGTCGACATGTTGCCATTTTGTTATGGTGTTCTGCCTCTTCTCAAATCTCTGTGATAA